TAGTTACTGAGTTTTTCTATGTTTTCTTTCCTAGAGTTTTTGGTCGAGGGATCTACAGGGAAGAGTTTTTTTTTTTGCATGGAATTGGTTTTTTGCATTGATTGGTTGTAATATATTATCTTAATTATTTTTGTTAATAATAGTTTCATCACTTACCTTAGAAGTAACCTCAGTATTGATTTTTGAAGATTCTAATATTAGAACAATTTTATTATTAGCATAAGTTAGTATATTAGTACTAATTTTTTTAACTTTATTTATAATTTTTCTGCATGCAAAATATTAACTGAGATTTTTGCTAGTTTTACTAACTGCAAAAATATTATTATTGCAAAGCAATGATCCTTCAGGTCTAGATTTTGATATATTTTTTTTACTATCTCCACCAACTACAGATATTGAAATTTTCTCTGATTTTGGATGCTCAAGCTCACTAACCTTAGAATCTAATTCAATCTTTATATTCACCAATTTAGCTTTAAAGAACATTATCTCAGAATCTTTTTTTGATAAGTATTTTTAAGTTAAAGATAATTCTTCTTCCAATAACTTGATTCTAGATTGGAATAAATTTGCTTCTTTCAACTTACTATAATACTTGACTTTATACTCAGTAAAGTTGATATTTTTGCTTTTTAACTCTTTAATTTCTTATTTGAGTTGTTTTTTAATCAAGTTATTTTGATTTTTGTTATTAATATACTGATTTATTTTTTTCTAAAGATGTAAAATCTTATCATTTTTTTTCTCTAGCTCTTTAGTAATCACATTAGGTCATGCTTTTGCAAAAGCTTTAGCCTTTCTAAATTCGGAACATTTATTAGCAAAAAATTCAGTTTTAAAAAGCAACTCATTGCATTGAGATTCAAGTTCATGTTCTCTACTACTATCTAATTTATATCCACGTTCTTGAAAATTTTTGGCATCAGTAGATTCATTATACAAAGTATATATTGGTGCCATATAATCAAAGAGAATTATGTTCAAAAAAAAAAAACTAGTCACAATTTAACTTTTTACTAGTTATAAATAAAAAAGAATCCAAATAATAATTAGTATTTAACCAGGCAATAATTAGACAGAAGTTAGTAATTAGCTGGGCAAAAATTGATACTTAGCTAGGTATAAAATAATAATTAACCAGTTTTATATAAAAATAAATCTATAATCAAGTCAGTACTAATTATTTTTCAGTTTTTGTCTGATTTGTATCTGATTATTGCCTGATTATTACTTAGTTTTTATTCAATTACATACTAGAAATAAATGAATATTTTTCTAGATTTAAATCAGATATTTTTTAATATCAATATATATTTTTCTAAAATAGTTAAAACCAAAGTTAGATCTCAAGTTTGACAATATCTTAACCCCACTACTATTCTATTAACTCCTGAAGCAATCGAAAAAATAAGAGATACTTATGCAAAACAGATATCAAATAGAAAATGCATTATATGTGCTAATTATAAAATTGGTAGTGAAAAATATAATGATATTGTAAATGGCCAGATATATCCTCAACCACCTGAAATAGAAATAATATCTATAAATTCATCTATCTCAATACCTCAACCAGAAATCTTGCTTATACATAGCTTATCAAGTGCTAAAAATCCTAAGCAATTAATTTTTTTAAGCAAACTAGTGACAAAAAAGACTAGCAAAAAATCAGAATCAAAAACTATAAATCATTCTATCTCATCAATACCAGAGAATGATGTGCAAACTAAAATAGAAAATTTATGAGAATATAAAAAACAGCTTCAAGCTAAATCTTGAAATCATATCAATTCCTTTTCAAGATATTCTGCATAATCAAGAGTTCTAATAAATTCCTTTTTAATAATTGCTTTATTTTCTAGATTTCTCATACCTAATATAATTTGAATTTTGGAATAGAATTCTAGGCTAAGAAAGAAATCGATTTGTTTGTCAGAATCTATTATGTTTTTTTTAGATCTTCAGTGAATAAATCCGAGACTTAGGACTCTTTTTTCTCATTTGATGCTGGCTTCTCTTTAGTATCGATCTTAATAAAAGAATCAAAAGTTTGATTTTTTGAATTATTATTCCGAATTACTAAAGTATAAAGGCTTGATAAAACATTATCCTTGATTGGCTTAGTAAAGGTTAGAATAATATAAGATTTTCCACAAACTATCATTCGAAATTCATATTTGTTTGTATCTAGAATTTCTTGAACTTTTTGAATCTATGGCATTTCTAAACAAAGAAGGTAATCGGGTTTTTTATTATCAATAACAACATGTCCTGTTTCAGTAACCTATTTATTTTTATATTTTATAAATATTGGTATATTCTTATATCCTCCTTCTAATTTCATTATATGATCAAAATTATATCTAAGTGAAAAATTTGGTACCATCCTAAGATTCCATTCTAATGCCTCTTTAGTGCTTTATTTATAACAAGACATCCTGATGATGTATCAGCAAACCTATCTGGAATAATTATATTTTCAATTCTATACTACATATATTTAAGTGATTTAGCTTATTTATTTTTTGTAAATGGGTTAATAATTTTTTTTCGCATTGCTGAAAATAATAATTCTAATAACTGGTCATCTGATTCTGAAAAAAGATTTGGCATAGTGACTTTTTCATTTTGTTTAGATTCTGTAACTAAAGATTTGTATAAAATTACTGATTTATTCTGTAATGTCTTACTTATTGTTGGTAATATCCATTTTTTTTTTCTAAATAAGATAGAGGGGCATGCCATTGATTATCTTTCTCATTATACTTACTTTCATCCTTCTTGCTATTATCCGAATTAGAAGATGTATATTGGAAATATATTGGATTAAGAAATGTAAAATATGATCAAGTATAATTAGATTAGACCATAAGTTGATTAGGGCATTTGCCCTTGCTATGGCCTGTTTCTCCACAAATTCCATATTTCTTTATATACACTTTTTTCTGTAATTGGTCTGCTAATTGATTTATAGTATTTTGAGTTTTATTAAGCTCTTTTTCTATTCTATTCATTCTGACAAATTGGTTGGATTTTTGTGGTTTTTTGTATAAGGCTTTTGCTTGCTCGAGGTATTTAAGGTAATTTGAATCTTGAGTAAGTGGATCTATATTATTACCTTCTTGATCTACTATGTAAAATGCTTGCTGAGATTTTTCTGACTTTATAGAGTAAAACTTGGGTAGGAGTTAAAAATTTTCTACTGTTGCAACTTGTGGTTGTTGTGCTTGAAGTTTAGCCTTTAATTTTTTTATCTTAGCTTTAGATTCAGTTTGCTGTTTTGCAAATGCATCTTGAATTATTTTTTGCATATTAGCCATGGGGAATGCTAGTTGTTGAGGTATAACATCTGGAATAGCAGAAGCAATAGGTGCATGGTAAGGTTAAGATGGTGCCTGTTGTAATATTTTATGACATAATTCAAGTTCTGCCAAACTATTAATAATATCGTTAATGGGTTTTGTTTGACCAATTTTATAAATTTCATCTCTAATATCAGGTCTAACTCTAGATAAAAAATGGGTTTTCTTCTGTGCTGGAGTATAACCCAGTTGATTGCCATATTTCTGAATTTTTGCCCAGAATGAAAGTACACTCTTATATATGCCTTGTCTTAATGCTCTAATTTCTAATATCTTTACATATTTATTAGCAATTGGATAATGTTTTTTTATCTGATAAAGCCTTTGTTTTGATTGAACTTCTGCAAGAACAATAGGATTACCTTCTTTAGCATTTGGTGCAACTGGTACTGTATTAGTTGGGCATTCTTCTGCTATTGTCCAATCTTTAGCAACATTTCAAGCAGAGACAATTTGTGCATTTGTAAGTCCAAATAGAACATTTGGAAAAGAAGTGACTGCACCCATTATACCTCCTGCATTAGTACTACAAATATATGTTATTGTTGTACCTATACCAGAGTTATCAAGTATATTTTTTAACTCCTAATTTTTATTATCAAATTTTCTATAATACTATTCACTTGCTTCTTCTTTTAAGGATTAATCTAATATAATGAAAATATTTGCATTATTATTTACTTCAGCTAAGGTAATATATGATATGAACCTATCTACAAAATCTTTATAATCTTCTTCACTACTGTAATAAAATTTACTAAAAACTATCAAGCTGTAGCAAATTTTAAAGTGATGAAGGTCGAGTGGAAGATCTT